ATTCAATTTTTTGTCGACGATTACGAGCCTAAAACAGCTATGCAATGCGATTACTTTGAATAAAGTTCAAATTTAAATAATATATTTTCGCATACTTTAAAAAAATTGATGTATGTGTGTGTGTATATGTGTGCATGTGTATGTATGTATGTGCGGATACAATTTTTTTTCAACGATTTTGAACCTAAAACAGCTATGCAGCGCGATTGCTTTAAATAAAGTTTAAATTTTGAAAAAATATTTTGGCATACTTTAAAAAAAATTGATGTTTGTGTGTGTGTATATTTGTGTATGTATGTATGTATGTACGGATACATTTTTTGTCGACGATTACGAGCCTAAATCAGCGTGGTTGCTTTAAATAAAGTAAATTGTTTTAAAAAATATTCAGAATATAAAAAAATCAAAGTCAATATTTTCAAAAATTTCAGTATTCTCAAAAATCTAATTTTTTCAAAGTTTTTTTAAAATATTTAGTTTTCGGTACGAGAATTTTCAGCAATTTGTCTTAAGGCACGATGCCATATACCACTAGTTAGTTTTTTTATAACATGAAAAATATGCATCCATTGATTATTTTTTACAGGACTGCTTGCATTTAATGTAATATAAATTAAAATAAATTTATTATGTAACATTTTTCCATTTTTATTAAATCCAAATATTTTAAGACAGTAATTTATATAACAAAAATAAACCAGTAAAACTTCAGGAATAAAAACAAAGGCTTTATCAAAACAAATAATAATTTTAATAAAAATTTAAATAATAACATACAATTGTTTCCCCCAATATATATTGAATGGTAATCAGAACAATTTCATTCTATGAGCCATAGGGCTGTAATTTTAGATCTCATATATCAATATTTAAAAAAATTACAAAAGTCGAATAAAACTTTAAATAATAATATTTTTTAGAGTTACAACTTTAGGACTGAAAACAAAAGCTTTATCATATCAAATAGTTATTTTAATAAAAATTTGAATAATATACATTTTTTTCAATATATGTTGAATTGCAATCAGAACAATATTATTCTATAAGCCATTGGATTATAATTTTTGAACCTAAAAATTTAGAATTACTTATGTCTAAAAATTTTGTTAAATATAAATAATATTTTTTAGTGAATACTTTTTACAACAAAAATAAAAAGACAACGAATACAACTTTAGAAATAAAAACAAAAGCTTTATAATAACAAATAATCATTTTAATAGAAATTTAAATAATAACCTATACAATTTATTTTCCCAATATATATCGATTTGCAATCAAAACAATTTCATTCTATAAGCTATTGGGCTAGAGTTTTTGAAGCCATTATATAAAAATTTATAATAACATAAGTCGAAAATATTTTGTTAAATTTTAAATAATATTTTTAAGAGAATAATTTTTATACCAAAAATATACAAATATTTGTTAATGTTAAATGTTAATAATCATTTTAATAAAAAATTAAAAAATATTTTATACATTTTTCCAATATATGTTGAATGACAATTAGAACAATTTGATTCTATAAGCCATAGGTCTATAATTTTGCATTTTGTAATATAAATAGGAGTAACAATGAATCACCAACCAATCAACAATATTTTTATTTAACAAACTAAATATTCATAGAGTAAAAATGTTCATGTATCAATTATTTTATTTTCAAAAATTATATACTATCTTGTTAATGCAAATTCTGAATTTCTGGATAAATTATATTGTTTTACTAATTCACTATATGCAAATCCAAGAGCCCATGACAATTCGTGATTATCAAGCTTCAGAATCATCTGAAAAAATAAATATTAATATTGTTAATATAAAAATATATGTAACTTATTATTATTGCATTATATAACGTTCAGCCAAAACTTATGTAATTTTTTTTCTGGAAATTTTTGTTGAAATAGTTAATAAAATAATGAAATTTGTTTGAAAAGTGAGATGTGTTACATAAAGTTTTTTGAATTTTTTGCAAAAATCAGAATTTTTAGTTGATTGTTGAATCAGAATTAGTTGATCAAATATTTTATGTTACACCCCAAATGATTTTTTAAAATTTTTAGTACCCTAAGTTTCGAAATTAGAGAACTGGCACAAATCTACAAAGTACATCAAATTTGATTTTGATCACATATTAGTTCTACTATGTAAAATGTATATGCATTTATAAAAAAATTAAATTTATTTCTTTGATAAAAAATAATGACACGTTTGCTTCAAGTTTTCAAGAATAGAAACTTTTATTTAAACTAAGAATTTAAAATTCTCCCTGATAAAAAAACACATAAGGTTTACATATGTGCTTTACACATATGTTTATACTGAAATTGTTCTAAATATCTTTAGTTCTCATAATTATTTATTAATTACCTCAATCCTATTACAATCTTTTAAGCCAAAACCGTCTTTTAGCAAAGTATAAATATATATCAAATCCATGCACAAAAATGGATCTTTAGGGTCTTTTAGTTGTACCATGGCACATTCCTCATCAGCTTTTTTCCATATTTCACCTAGAGTTGTATTGCCTCCTTCTCCAACTAAAAAATAATAATTAATTTATTAATAAACATAAAATTTAGAATAGAACAGTAGATAAAAATAATGTTCTATTCGAAATTTGAGGAGGAATCATTTTGGTACAAGTAATGGTAGTATAATCGTTCAAATTTTCATTAATTTTAGGTTTATTTTTGGACGAGTTTGATTCCTTGTTACATCTAATCATATTTATTTTATCTTTTTATATAATTATATAAATTATATTTTTTTATGACATAGTTTTTTTTCAAAAAGACATTCACCATTTTTTTGTTCAATTTCACAGATGGTAATCATTGGGGCAAACAAAATGTAGTTGTAAAATTGTAACTGCAAGGCCGAGATCTAACTACTACGCCACGACACTCTGTTTAGCACAAGGTAAGAGTATAAAACTAATAAAATTTGTTGCATGTGTGATTTTGAAAAAAATCCAGTTATATCCTGTTTTATGATTTTTTTAAAGATGAACCTATAAATTACTGAGGTAAGATGAAACAACATATTTCTTATATGAGAACAGATTTATTTATTTAATTTTTTTAAGTCATAAAAATGCGTACTATTAGTGTTCCAAAACTCAACATCAAGCTAAATGAAGTGATTTTAACTATCATAAAAATTAAAAAAAAAATTCATGTGTTTGAGAATTCTTAGTGCAACTCAGTGTTTTCGTCAAATTGTGACCATTTTTCGGTAAATGTGGTAAATTTTTGTCTTGTTTCGAATTTGTGTTGTGTTCTGGGACACCCTATGTATATATATATATATATATATACTAGCTAGCCCGACATACTTCGTCCTGTCAAAAAAATCTACCAAATCGGTTCTGATTGCTCTGTTGATCTTTTAAGGTTCTGTCTAAAGCATCAAAAGAGTTTTTATGTGCCATCGTGCATTCATCCCAAACGATCAATTGATATTGCTGCAAAACCTTAGCCATTGCATTGCATTGCATTGTTCTTCGAAATGTTGCAAGTTGGAGTTTCATTGCTTTGCATATTTAATGGCAATTTTAGTGCTGAATGGGCTGTTCGACCACCTTCGAGTAAAGTTGCTGCGATTCCCGATGATGCGAGTGCAAGTGCAATTTTGTTTTGTGAGCGAATTGTTGCTAGTATTAATAAAATAAAAAAAAAATCCTATACCACCAGGCGCATCTAAGAAGTATATCCCCCCAGTTCCATCATTTGTTACTTTCATAAGAATATCGAAT